CAGTATCGCGCTGTCATAGAACAAATGACTAAAGCGGAGTGTCGCGCTCTGTATACGATTTTAGCGCCTTACAAGTGCGGACACTTTTTAGCGCGGACCCGACGTCCATATAATTGTAAGTCAATGGCTGAAACAGAGACTTATTTTTCAGTTTGACAAAAAATATTTTTCTCGCTGGCCACGGGGTATAGAGTTAAAATGAGAAAAAATAAACCATGGTTAAAAAAAATTCTTGTCAAAGCCACGGACTTAACAAACCGCCCTCGTACGTAATAATATGTGAATAAATAAATAATGTGTGAAGTGATCCGTTCAACATCCGTACGAAATAGTTACTGTCAATTAATATTCAACCAAATTAAAAGATTGTCAAATACGAAGCTTCATTGGTATTATGCATCTTTTAATTTCGTCAAGTATTACCTATTTGACTTTATTGGTGGTCAATGTATTTGACAGAGTATTACTTATTCAACAGACAAATCTTTCGGACTGATGTCGGGACCTTAGACCTTTATTTTTTTCCATCCTCTAAGGTCGGGACGGATAGCAGGGCCAGACCCAAACAATATTATTCCTACGTTCTCGTAAACGTCTAGTGTATTCAAATTCAAGTTTAGAGCGTAGTTTAGAAATTAATATACAACGATTTATTATATGTGATCATGTTGTATTTAGAAAAATACGTTTTTCGTACGAAACTGAGAGGCATGAAGAATGTAATTATTTCTTATTTTTGTGGGATTACCGCTTTTTCCATTGTATTTTGCCGGGTTTTAGGAGGTTAAATAATGCATCGATTATTTTATTAATGAAAAATTTTTAAAGAAGAAAGTGTTTGCCTCTCAAAAGATATAAATAATAAAAAATAAAGATATAAAATATTACGCACGTGAGAAGAGGAAGGAACGTGACCGTAGCGCTAGAATATATTAGAAACTCCCACATAGAAAAACGACTCCATTGATATTTTGATATCTATGAGGATTTTCTTTATACAGGGAAGTTTGCTTCACAGAATTGATGTGCTCAATATTAAGGATATTCTGAGACATTCTAATATTTTGTAAATATATCCCCATCGGAAGGTAGTTGAGCACTTTGTTCGGTGATTATCATTTTAAGCTGTCAGTTGAGTTACGCAATAGGCCTGCTATTCATTTGAATTCTTTCGTCAAAAATGGGACGACATATATCCATGACGATTTAAAATCTTTAAATACATAGGTCAAGTTCCGTGTCACTGTTTGTGGTGTAATTTTCATAAATCTTGATGTTATAAATTAGAAAAACTGGTCCATTGTACGTATAGTTAAGTAGTTCACGAAATCTGTGAGTTTATTGTATTTTCCCAATTCATTTAAATAGAGAGTAAGGACCACAGACCACATAGTGGTAAGGACTATCAGAAATATTGCGCAATCAGGTTGTAAGACTCTTATAAATTATTGGAGATATCTTCCGAATAAAAATCAGATACACGCGTCACACCCAAAATAGGCGTTTTAACGGCGACCTGCGGACACCAGCCCTTTAAACCATACCACACATACATACATAATACATACTATGGATTTTTTTATAGAAACTCTAAAAGGTTGAATTACAATAATAACGTTGATATGAACCACTGGTCACATAGCAGAACGTTTAATCGAAATCAAAAGAGATGGAACTCATTATTTTTTCAAGTTAAGCTTTCTACTACATGTGACCAGTGATCCGAATGAACATTATTATCATATATTTGGTATTGCACAGTATACAGAACAAGTATACAGCAAATCTATGTATATATTACAATATGTATTCTTAAAATGCTGTAATATAGCCAATGTGATGAACATAGAAAGTAAATGAAAATTAATAAACTGAATAGATAAGAACGTTGGGCTGACCACTTTAGGATGTTTTTGAGATTTCTTAAAACTTTCGCATATTTTGTCCTCGAAGTTTTTCTCGTAATTAGGTCATCTTAGTCTTTTTATTACCTGCTGTTTGTCTTTTGTTTGTAAAAAAATTTCTTTGTCTCTGACATTGAATATGTATACTACACATAGAAAAAATATTCAAATAGAAAAAAAAACACTAACAAAAAGTGAATAAATTTAAGTCTGAAGAACGCTTTAGATAAAACATATTTTCGCGGTCATCGTTGAAGAATGACAAGAAACTTATTATTATTTTTCCTTAATGGCGGCCTCCAGAACGAGAAAGTTTGACAAAAAAATATTTTTTATAGAGTCATAGAGTAGAATTTAATCACGACCCTGTAAAAAGTCTATTGGACACTGCAACAACATTTTTGCTCACCATCTAAGGGGGGACATGAGTACTTGAAAATACTACTGGACCTGGCAGTGGGTCCAACAGTCCTAAAGGTATTTTTTAAAGTTATTATACTGTTGTTATTCACGATGGCTAGTTCTGAGAAATTGCAGTTCATAGGAAACGAACAGTCCATTTCAAAGCAATATATCTATGCGTTTTGTAGTGTTTGTTCAGTGACGTCCGTAAGTTTATTCGTTGGTACGTACTGCTATTCCCAAGAATCTAATTTTATTTGTGGATTTACCTGTTTACGCAGTTTCGTGAGTATTCTATAAATCTCATACATTGAAATTTATTTTATGTCGTTCGTTTAGAAAGTCAATATTACATAAAATGTCACACGTTAGGACTTTTTAAGTAGTTGCTCTGAACAAATTTTTTTTCTTGCAACCACGTCTATATTGTGCCGTAAAAAAATTCGAAAATAACAAAATTGACTGTGAAATGGCAACCGGTACTATCTCAAATGTCTAAAGATTTCACTTTTTAAAATTGACTTACAATAATGCAAAAATTCTATCTCAGATACATTTAATTTTGGCGCCAGAATCGACTTCATTCAACTTGTACCAACTTCTAACCAGATGCTATATAAATGATGCAAACAATTATTTTCTTCATCCTGTAAAATTGTCAAAATTGAGATAGTACCGGTTGTCAGTTCACAGTTAAAATTCCATTTTTCAAGGTCAAAATGTATTTAGAAATCTCACAAATCTAAAAAACAAATTAAACTTACGATAAAACCGACATAATTACGTGTTTCGTAGTTACAAGACCCAAACCAATCTAAAACAAAAACTGGAAAAAATTCTATTCTATCTGGAGAACATCTTTCACTCAACGTGTGTTTTATTATGAAATCTCGTTGATTGATGTAGTAAATGATGATAAAATAAGAATAAAAATTACTTTTAATCAATAGCTTCACTAGCAGCATTGAATTTTGATAAGTTAGATAGTACTTAAAAAGGTGTCGGAGATCATGTCCTATTCAGAATAGATTAAAATGTGCAGGCGCTATTTTACGTTTTACGGCAGAAAGGTGACTTATTGTTGATTTAACATCTTACATAAATAATAATTATTATAATAATGAGTTACTCATGTGTCTGTTTGTTGCAATAACTTGCTGTGCGGTGATGACAGGTTTTATGCCTGTTTGAGCTAATTCGGCGTTAAATTTTCCTATCAGATTGTACGTAGCTGTATTAAATTGTTGAAAAAACAAAAAGTTTGCAGGGATCCACATTTCTTCGTCTTCTAAGTGGTAGCCCTTTTATATCATCATCATAGTAATCTTTTTCAATCTTTCTCATATCACTGTAATAATAAATACCTCAATTAGTAACATGATGAAATGATGGTTTAAAAAACTGTCCCTAGCTCAACGTGTTTTTTTAAACTTAACCAAAATTTGCTCAATAACTTACTGGACAGTTTGGTAAATTTTCTCAAACATTATTGGGTTTTCGAAAAGACCCCAATTCGCAAATTGTTTCGTCAAATATTTTTTTCTCTTGTTGTCTCTGCTTCAATACTTCTTAATGTCTTTGCAAGAACTGTAGACCTGTGTCGACTGGTTTGGCCACAGGAACAGAAAAAGTAGGTAGGGCATTTAGTGCTACTTCTTCATCTTTATATTGAACGCATTATTTCGGAAATCACCGCTGGAACTTTTACAAATGGAATAATACAATTTGTTGTTGTGCTTTTAAATACATTTATTATTGTGATTGCGGATTTAGTTCATTTTTCAACTTTTTATGTTTAATTTTTTTATGAGACCAAGTAACGTGACATACAAATCGTGTGCCTGGTGATAAGCGACACGCCTTGCAAAGTCTGAGGAGTACTGCCACTACGCCCGTCACCCTGAGACACCTGGTGGTAAGCGATACGTTTCCATGGCAGCTGCAGTGCCACTCACCAGCTTATAGATCGAAAAGAGCTGAGGGCCACGGCTACTGCGCCCGTCACTCTGAGACATAGGTAGACAAATCCTATGTGCCTGTAATTTCATCAGCACCTTTACTTTTCAGAGCCGGAACGCAGTTATGCTCACATTACAGTTTGGCGGCAGAAATAGATAAGGTGGCAGTACTTCCCTGGACGAACTCTTTGACAAGGAGCTCTACTGCTACTAAAATATGAACTCTATACAAATACGTAATCCGTACCATTTCGCTGAGTCGCTGATACCCTGTTCTGGATCATATTCCCTTAAGGACTCTCCACTAGTTGGCAACTTAGGAATAGCAGATCTCGTTTTTTCTATTTCGATCAAAGTCTAGTAAGTCTAAGAGGACACCATCATCCGACCTCCTAGAGATACCACCTGTCCACAGTCGCCATTAAAGCCGGAATCTAACTTTTCTACAGGGAAGTAAGTCTGAAAATTCTATCAGTATTTTATGTAAATGTTTATTTCAGTAAATTACATTTTTTCTAAGCTACTAAATATGCTTTAAAAATTAAGTTTATTATTTATCAATAGAAAAATGAAACATGGTGACAATAGATTTTTAAAAGGTCTGCGAAGATGTGTGTCAGTGTATTGAGATAGATAGATTTGGTAGATTACGGCTTAATAAAACCCTTTCTTTAAAAGTGACCTATCCGGCAATAAGACGTGATGATGATGATTAATTAATATGCATCCAATTTACCGATGTCAGCTTGTTCTGTTGGTTTCGATGATGGTGTTTATTCGCTTTTTATTAATTAAACTTTGTAGATATTTTAGGTGTTCCACTGAATTTACGTTAATCACGCCTAGGACCTTAAATAAAACAAATGTAAGGTTACTCAAGAAATACCAATTATCGCGTAAAATTTTATTATACGGGCTTGGTATTCGTCACGGAAGAAAAAAACAATGGAAGTGCCTTAAGCCTCGATTACTATCGGAATCGAACCGCTGTTGCCAAAACGCACGAAAACAAATGATAAAATGATGACTACGAAATCTTGACAATGATTGGTCATAGTTTCAAATTAAGAAAGATGGAACAAATTCTGTATTGTTAATATAGTTTAAACTTTACCAAGTCGCTATATCGTAGAAAGTTCTATTTTTTTATTGCAAGTTACGACGTTTTGATTTAAAATTGAAATTTTATTCAATGTGCTACCATCTTGCGGCCAGAAACTGGACTACGACGAACAATTAATGTATGAATCAATTCGTTAAATAGAAAATTGAAAAGTTATTAAAATAATAAGACTTACCGATGATATTAAATACTACTACGGTTAATAATATTTTTGGTGCGGTTATGATTTTTGGACTCTAAAACAGCACAATAAGGCATTTTTCTGCGATTTTAGAGAATTTGCGCGAATGAATAACACAACCATACCAAACAAACCCAAAATGGCGGGCTGAGCTCAAGGTCTTTCGAGATCTAATGTTGGCATGCGTCAGACGCTAACTAACCACTGTCGCGGTAGAAGGTTAGAATATCGTAGTAGATAACTAGGAGGTTAGAGAGCTTAGGAGATGTAGGAAGGTATGAAAACAAAAAAATGGAGAATGATATAACAACACATTTATATCAAAAAGAACCTGAGAGTGTTATTGTTATGTAGGTTCGTGTTATGTATCCAACCTTGGAGTCCACTCCAAGTGTAGAGTGGTGTGGTGTGTAGATGAAGAAGATGAAGATAAAAGTTGGGTACACGGAGTTGCGGGTCCCTGCCCTCCAGGGTTGGAGACCTAGAGCAGAGGTGTAGAGCCGGAGAGCAGCGGGTTTGGCGTGGAGGCGGAGAGTGGAAAAGTTGCCGTAGAAATAGCAGCGGTTTGGCAGCACTGGCTTCGGAGAGCGGTGAGGTTGTCGTAGAAGCAGCGGCGGTTATGCAGCACTAGCTTCAGTTGCTCGTGTAGCGAGGTGGAGCTTATAGTTAGGCGCTCTACTCTCGCAGGGAGAAGGGCTCAGTCCAGTTAGGCAGTACGTAAAGGTGGAGAGCAGGTTTAGGTGGGTAATCGAGGAACTTAGTTCAGATATACGCGTAAGCGCGACAGGAGTAATTCCAGTCATAAGAAAGATGAGGCTTCGTATATTTCGTTTTGAAGACCAGATAACGAAGGTCAGTATAGGAATCACGAGCGATTGGCAGAGTGAGAAAGAGTATCGAAATTCAAATAGCGAATTTTCAATTTGAGATAAGGAGCCAAAATGTGAGCGGCCAGGAGAGGAAACGCTTCTGTTGCCAAGACATATCAAAGTAAGGAGTAATTTATAGGATAGTCTGCGGAAGAATAGATTGTAGAGGAATAACAGATCTGTCAATCAATGTCAACGTATAAAAATATTATTTTTGCCTTGGTCTGGAGATCAGACATGAAAAGTGAGTAAACTGTCAAAGTGAGACAAATAGCTCATAATGGGTAATTTAAGTAAGCTAGGCACTACTAATACTACTATTATTATTATAAATATTACTATTGCAAATATCAGTTGGAATTCTTTCAGGAATCAGGAAAGTAAAGGTGTTTCCTAGGAAACGTATAATGAGAGAGATGGAGATGATAGGCGGTCCATGGTTTCACGCTACACCCCTTATACTTACAAAAGATTTTTTTATAATACCAAGTAATGAGACGAATAAGGCGTGCGCCTGGTGGTAAGTGACATGCCTGTCTATAACAGTTGCAGTGCCACTAAGAGCTTTAAATCGTAAAGATCTTGGGAGGACAGCCATTGCGCCCATCACCCTGAAACATAACTTGACAAGTCCCTGTAATTGTGTGATTATAATTTCACTAGCACCCTTCCTAACCGGAGCAGTAATGCTCCCTTTACTGCTTGGCGGCAGAAATAGGTAAGGTGGTACTACTACCCTGAACGAACACTTTCACAAGAAGCACTACTGCTACTAAAACCAAAAGTTCTATGTAGTAAATTCGTTATAAAAAATTGTATCTGAATCGTGTATTTAATATACATATAAACGCATCAGTTACAATTGCGATAAGAAAAAATAACGAAGGCAAATAAATAACCTAGTGTGACATCATTTTTGCGTGACTTCGAATTGTGTCATAATTGCATTCAATTGCCTTCGTGGCCGAACAGTTATCATGTTAGACTACCACGACGAGGTCCCGGTTCGATTCCCGGGCCTAGAGAAATTTTAGTATTACCTACATTTATTTCTCTCGTGAGTTTGGGTGTAATTTGCGGTTATCTGCGTGTGTGCTTTGCACCCTCGACTCAGGCTCTCCCTAGTACGTGGCTATGAGTATGTGTGTTATAATTAATTACTTTCATATGCATCTTGATTTATGTTAATTATTAGCTACGGTCTAAACCGGAGGCCAAAATAGTGGAACTAGCTGTCTGAAAGTCGAAACATCAACTACATGCAGTTAATGCGTGAAGGCGTTATCATAGACCCGATTAAATGACAAGCATTTGACGCGCGCTTATTGTTTGTTATTCGACCCGGCCATTAGAGTTTATTCAAATATTTGTGTCACTGAACTTCTCTTGTTCTGAGTCTATATAAGATGTAACGACATTGGTTTGATTCCCGGGCTTGGTAAGTATCATCATCATCAATGCACCCTCAAATTACGATGATTATTTGAACTAAACTCAACAATACGTTCTTCTTCCAATCGTCGAGGTGATGGTTTTCTTGCATAAGTTTGTTAGGTCGTTGCATCTCAACCTTTTCCTGTGCCTGTGATAATAATAAGCGAAAAAATTAAAATGTAAGTACCGCAAAGATAAAAAATATAAAATTTCTGTAAAAATTAACTTGACGTTGATTGAAAATCACCTTTATTTGGAGGAACAATATATTCTAGAAATGTTAGGATGTAGGAAACTTAGTATTTAATGTCTCTGTATTATATGTAGCCAGATCAGACCTTTCATTTTCATAAATTCAGATATTAAGAGTAATGGTATTCCGGCAAAGCATCCACTGAATATAAATGTAACGTCGTAACGGACTACATAAAACAAGTACAAGTACATCGCGAATGTCAAAACAAAGTAAAATAAGACAAGTATGATAACATACAAACGCAGCAGCGCGCTATGTATGTGTGCGCGCCCGCTTAGCGCCGTGTACGGACGCACACATTCCCATAATTTAGCGATGCAATCACGTTGCATAGCGCTGGTCCTCCCACACGCGTTTCATTATAAAGCGAATGTGCACATATAAGCCGCTGCTGTGTTTTAATGGAGTAGTAGGAGAAAAGTTCATTGGGAAGTACTGTCATCTACTTCTGCCGCCAAGAAGTAATGTAAATATTACTGAGTTTCGGTTTTGAAGAGTAGGGGTACTGGTCAAATTACAAGCACATGGGACTTGTCAACATATGTCTCAGGGTGACAGGCGCAGTGGCAGTGCTCTCCAGATCTTTGCGATTCAAAGTTCTGAGTGGCATTGTAACTGTTATGTACAAACGTATAGCTTACTGTCAAACCGCCATCAATGTGTTACTATAGATGGATCTGTTAGTGACGATCTTTTGACTACATACGGAATCCCACAAGGAAGTATTCTAGGCCCAACCCTCTTTATCATTTATATTAACGATCTTTGCCAGCTTCAAATTCCCTCTGGTCGAATTATTGCGTTTGCCGATGACACTGCTCTCGTTTTTTCCGCCAAGTCTTGGGAGGATTTGTTCCAGGCTGCCCAAGAAGGTCTGAATTTGGTATCCTTGTGGTTGAAGCGAAATTTTTTGACCTTAAACTCAAATAAATCGGAATATATGATTTTTAATTTAAAGAACTTAAATTTAACTTTACCTAGAAACTTTCAACTAGTAGCTCACAACTGTAACATAGATAGTAATATATGCTCTTGTCCTAATCTACAATTAACAAAACAATACAGATATCTGGGTGTCCAAATCGATTGCCATCTCAGCTTTCGGCCGCATATCGACTTACTTGCTACTAGAGTAAGGAAACTTATTTATATATTTAAAACTTTACGTAACATTGCGAATCCTGATGTTCTAAAATCAATATATTTCTCTCTGTGTCAATCACTTATCATTTACTGCATCACCTCTTGGGGTGGTGCTTGTATGTCTTTTTTAATTTCCCTTGAACGAGCCCAGAGGGCAATTCTGAAGGTAAGTTCACGTCTGCCGTTTCGGTACCCGACTGCTGATCTATACAAATCATTCAAAGTTCTTACAGTCAGGCAGCTCTTTATTTTGTTTACTGTTTTGAAACAACACTCTCAGACATCTTTCACTCCATCCCTTCTGGCTTCGCGACGCATAAATATATGTCCTTCAAAATTAGTTTCGACAACAACTGCTCAGCGTTTCTTTCAATTCCTAGGCCCTTTCTTATATAATAAATTAAATAAATTATCCCCTTTTTGTGAACTCTCTAAATACGAATGCAAACTAAAATTGACCAGATATCTCTTGCTCCTTAACTATGATGAGACTGAAAATCTACTAAAAGTCGTCAAATAACCTCACAATTCCACACTCACAAACACACACGAACCCACACAGACACACAATCACTCACACACTCAGACACACACTCACTCACGCACTCAGACACACTCACTCACTCACTCACTCACGCGCTCACGCGCGCACACATAATTTGTTTTACTTATTTTTTACTTCCACCTCAGTACTTTTGTATCTCATCATTACTACTAACATGACTATCCTAGGGGTTGGGTGCCTGGAGACCCATATTACAAGCTCTGCTTAGTTTGGGCTCCAGTCTCCCACAATACATTACTCTAAGCTTACGTAATAATGTATATTTACTGTAATTGTAACGTTTCTTTGTATTGTGTTGTGGAGATAAATAAAGATATTTATTATTATTATTATTATTATTACTGTCAGACACACTTGTTCGTCCCGCCACTTGATATTATAAAAGGAGTTATCATACTTGACTTATTATACTACGTCTACAATCTGACAGAAAACAAAATTTTGGTATATTGGAAACATAAAAAAATTAAACTTTATCATCTGGTTAAATAACTACAAACACAACAATATCAACAGCAACTTACCCACGTAAATGCAGTGCCGTGCCCTTGCGCGATAACGTGGCGTCCGCAACGGTGCCGCCACAATAAAATTCAAAATGTCAATTGCAATAATTACAATGATATAATTATCAATTGCACCGGTCAAAACAGAAATGGCAATATGAAACCAGCATAAAATATTAAATTAATATTTTTTAAAATGTCATGTCGTGAAATTCTGGTAGACTTCATAAATATTAAACATTTTGAATACCATATATTTAAATTTACTAATAATTTCAATTATCCAACTGAGTAACTGAGGTCTGTCTTTGAGGAATGATTTTTAGTTGTTCCATTAAAACTATGCTCCTTCAGCGTTAGTTCCGTTCACTATCATTGGGGCCTATATAAAATATTCAGACCAGAGTGTAAACTTTTTTTTTGCTCGGTATCATTCTGAAAATTACATCGAAATTTTCCTTACCTGTAGAAGAAATTAGAAAGCGTAGAAGCGTAGCTATTGATTTACCAAAAGCGCTTCAGCTCTAATTGTTTTAGTGACATATTCGAATACTGTGATAACTTTGTTATAGATGTTTTCGGTGTGATTCATTTGACTCATTTGCTTTGACGTCTTATATATTTTAGGATCATGTAGTACAACAATATTGGACAACGAACGTTTGACTGGTTGGTTGTTTCTTTTTCTTTTAACAGGATAGCCTCCTATATCCATGTCATAATTATCAATGATCTGAGGCGTCGTTTCTTCACTGAAACAAATATTTACTATCGAGTAATACGCATTTTATATTATTCACTACAATTGGAATACGAGTATGATTACGTGACTTACGTTCTTGGTATATTGAATTCACGTACATACGGGTCAGAATGGAATATATCCTTGAAGTCAATTTTTGGCACAGTATTCCTGTTCAACGCACAGAAAAAATATATTAACGATTGAGATTAGTAAACTTATGTGTGTGTTGGTCTTCGAGAACGTTTTTCATTTTCTGGTCCACCGGCTGCAAAACATCATCCTCGAAGTTTTCGGTCGTTCAATGGTTAAATAACATATGAGGAGGTTCAAAGTTCTATTTTCGTCTGATTTAACATAATTGATTCTTGTTTGGGTGTTCCGCCAGAGTAGATAAATTTACCTTTGGAGCTAGGCAAATGTAAGGATTGTCCTTAGAAAAATAGCATAGCGACTGTGAACTGGCAACCGGTGCTATCTCAATTTTAACAACTTTACAGGATGAAGAAAAGATAATTTATATAGCATTTGGTTTATTAAATAAAAATATGTAGTGTACATACTTACATGTGTAATAAAAATATTTAAAAACTACGTATTATTATTTTGTAAAGTTTATATATTCTTCGTATAATTATTTAATAAACGTGATGCTATATAAATGACGCAAAGAAATTTTTTCTCGTAAAGTTGTCAAAATTGAGATAGTATCGATTGCCTCTGATCTGAGGGGAACTGCCATTACGCCCATCACTCTGAGATATAAAGTTGACAAGCCCCATGTGCCTGTAACTTCAAGCAGTCTTACCCTTCAAAACAGGTACGCAATAATGCTCACATTACTTACAGGAATAGGTAAGATAGCAGTACTTCCCTAGACGAACTCTTTTCACAAGCAGCTCTACTGGTACTATGTGTCAACGTGTCAGTATGCACAATTTCAATAGAACAACATTGAGTTCCAGTCATTCGGTTCCTTAATGTTAAACTGCATACACACGGAGCGCGTTACAAAACTGTCCTAAAGAACGTACTCTGTCGTGGTTGACACCGTTGTCGTTCTTGTTCTCCCTTGAGAGGGCTTCAAGGGACCGCGTCTTGGTGTCACCGGCGGGGGGAAAGTCAGTGGCAAGTTTGGATCACTGTCTTGTGAAATAAAATCCTTTTGTATATTTGGGGGAAGTTTTGGAAGGAACCTGTAAATAATGATCGTAGCTTCAAAAATCTCGATTCCACATATAGACCACCACCACTGATTTAAAATTACCTTGAAATTATCACAACTTCCATGGACTTTAATAGTCATATAGAACAGACGAATGATTGTAAAAATTCTCTTTTTAGAGACCTATATCCAGCAAATAATTATTGAAAGCTGATGTAAAATCAGCATCAAAATTGAATGATGATACTAACCAAAAGTACATTCGATAAAAATCTATATTATATCAGCGAGTTTCAGGTGCAGTTTTGAATAATTACATTTTAGATATTAATTGAGATTGGATTTATTTATTTATTGCATTGCATTACCATACTTATATTATTTTAGGTACAGTGACTTGTTACTGTACATACATGTGAAACCCTGTAAGGGCACAGCAAAAGTGCCACTTACTCATTATAAAAGTAATAAAATAAATGTGATTACATTTGAATAAATAATTACAAATACACACACAGAAAATAAAATTAGAAGGATATCGAAGTATCGAGTTCTTAGGTTTTCGCGATTGTTACACAGATACGCGATATAAATTCGGAACAAAATAATTTCATTTCCGATATCCAAGTATTTTAAATAATCATATAATAAATTAGATTTTGTCATTGAAAAATTCTTTAATATTCTTTAA